CCACGTCCAAAAGCCCGCCACGGACATCGGGTCGGCGACCATATCGCCTTCGGGAAGAGATGTAGCTATTGCTTCGTGAGTGTCCTCCGTCCAGGTATACCGGCCATATTCTAACTAGCAGTACAGAAAAACCGGCCTGGACATCATCGACCTCGACTCACCGCTGAATCCCCCCCGACACCTCCGACATGGCACATCATGGAACATCGCCGACGTGCAGTGGTCGCCCTTCGCCGCCCGCGACTACTGGGTCGCCTGCACCGCGAACCAGAAGGCGCTGGTATGGAACCTTGCCATGCAAGAGGATACCCGGCAGGGCGCCATTGAACATACTCTACATGCGCACACGCGCGCGATTACAGACATCAACTTCTCGGCCCACCACCCCGATATCCTGGCTACATGCGCGGTGGATGGATACGTCAATGCGTGGGATCTACGGAGGCCGCGCCGGCCAGCGTTGACATTTGTGGATTGGGATGCAGGCGCGACGCAGGTGAAGTGGAATCGACAGGAGGGGCATATACTGGCGTCATCGCATGACCGATGGCTGCGGATTTGGGACGATAGGCATGGAGCATACCCAGTGAAGTCGATTGAGGCGCATAGCTCGAAGATCTATGGTGTGGACTGGAACCGAGTTTCTGCAACGCAGATTGTTACGTGTTCGCTGGACAAGAGTATCAAGTTCTGGGACACTGCTGCGGAGGAGGCTATCCCGGAGCGAGTCATCCGGACGTCTTTTCCGGTGTGGCGTGCTAGACATACGCCGTTTGGTTGGGGCCTCCTTGCGATGCCACAGAATGCTCCGGGAAACCTGTATTTGTATGACCGGCGAAAGGAGGGCGTTGAGTCGGATACAATGGCTCCTGCGGTGGCAGTATTTAATCACGGCGAGCGTCAGGTGAGGGAGTTCCTATGGAGATCACGGGGCAGTATTAATGAGGAGGGAATGGACAACCGCGAATTTCAGCTAGTGTCCTGGGGAGACGATAAAGAGCTAAAACTGCAACGCGTGGCTAATTCTCCACTCGAAAATGTTGGATATGTCAAGGGGAGCCAGATGACGAAGAAGCTGAATGTTACTCGCAAAGGCGCCATTTACAAAACGTTTAGAAATGTGGAGCGAGCAGAGATGGAGAAGAAGTCTGCTACGATCAAGGCGCCTCGCCTGTTGAGCAGCAGCCACGACAAAGAGAATTCATATAGTGTCCTCAGCGACGAGATTAAGAAGATGTCTCCGACGAAGAGATTTCGGAGTAGGATGGGCGTTAATGGATCGACAATGAGAGGCAAGGCCATGAATTCCGAGCGTCGCAGCCAGATCAACTGGATGAGCGGTATCAAGTTCACCGCCAATGGCGGTGGCGAGGATGAGGATGGGCAGGGCAAGATCCCGGCGCGACGTCTGTCTGTCATCAGCCCCAATTTCGATATGGAAGGCGATTGGGACACGCCGGAATCGTTACATGACGAGATCATCCGTGTGCACCAGCAGTACAGTAAGGTCACGTTCAACGATGTTAATATGGACACTCGCTCGGTTACGGCGTCGATGAATGGGCCGTGGGGCAAGGACGGGGAGTCGGTCTTCATTAAGGCTACAATACAGTTTCCAGACCAGTATCCAGGGCCCAAAATACCCATGTTCACTATTGGCAGGTCGTCTCTAATATCCGACGAGACCAACGAGCGGATCTCGCAAGAGGTGCAGCAGATTGCTACTGGATTTGTCGGGCGTCACCGTGGTTGTCTAGAGGCTGCGCTCTGCTACCTGCTTGGAGAAGTCAACCTCGAAGAGAGTACACAATGGCTCAAGGGAGCTGACGATGTTGATAATCTCGACGATGGTATCGCAGACGTGAGCTCTAGCGACGAAGATGATGATGACATACCGGCGACCAATTCAGCGATGATGTCTCAAGAATTGGATCCAACGTCAACAGAGGGGATTCTTGTTGCGAGTCGGCGTCACGCCAACGTACCCCTCCCAAGACTTTCAGGCGCTCGATTCTCCAATAATGGCAAGCTCATCTGCTTCTTTCCACCGAAGGAGGAGAGGTTCAAGTCCCTTCTTGGCTCCGTCGCCTTGGACAAATCGAGAGTCAAAGATGGTCCTTCCTTCAATACATTTTCCCGCCTTGCTACAGAGTCGCTTCCACCGAGAAGCAAGTTCGCATCGCTCAATGAGGAGGAAGACTTCGACTCCGATTCGTCGCAAGGCTCTGGAAGCGAATCCTCGAGCGATTCAGACTCTTCACAATTCCAAGTCAGCGTCGCATTTGATTTCTGGCGAAAGATCCATGGCACGAGTTATCGGAAGGGGCTGTCAACAAATCGATCCAATAAGTCGAGTGGGGCTGGAACTGGTACTGGTACTGGTACCGGAACGCTGAGTAAGGGACGGCTTTCGAAGCCTAAAAACACGATTGCGATGTACGATGTATCCGATTATTTACCGGGGAAGCTTGAGCTGGCTCAGGAATATGCCGTGTTTGGCGAAGGGACAGATGTTTGCAACCACAACGCGATGATTGCGATGAAGTACGGGCACCAGGAGCGTGCAGATCTATGGACGTATGCCGGGATGTTGCTGCAGCATGAGGTTCCTCTCGAGATTCTTGATCAGTCGCATCGGAAGGAACCTATACTTGTTATTGCGCGGGATATGATCAAACACTGTAGGCGTGACAGTCAATACGATAGTGGCATCGATATGGCGTTTAACTCGAAGAACCTTGCCATATCAGGGAGAGTCAAGTGGGGATACAGCCCTCTCGCCAAAAACCTAATTGATGACCTCTTTGATCATTTCGAGAAGCTGGTCGACATACAGATGCTAGCGATGCTATCTTGCGTCTTCAGCGAACCATCTGCCGTCGACCCACTGCCAAATACAGACATACGTCTTACACAACCGCAGACTCCACTGTCAATGAAAACGCCGGCGTTCTCTCTAGACTACTTCCCATCTGATATTGCCGTGTGGAGCGCGTATCAAAAGACCCCGTATAGCTCAATACCGTCTACGCCGAGAGCAGCTCTCACTCCATTCTATGGCTCCCTCGGGTCGTCAAATGGGCCGTGGGGCAGCGATCCTGCGTCTGCCTCATTCTCTTGTGGCGAAACTCCGCCGTTGAGGTCCACAGGAGGCAGCTTGGAGAGGTTAAATGAGAAGCTACGCCTACAGTCTCAAAGCTTATCGACATCCCCGGATGATAGGCGGTTACTTCAGCGTGCCAATTCTGGCCTTGCAGCCAGCTTCGCCTCGAATTTGAAGAACCCTTTCTACAACACAGGTTCCTCATCTCCTCCGAATCGCAAGCGCCCCAGTCCAGTAGAGAGCATGATCAGCACTCTGACGCCTAGCGCCGTGACGTGGGGTAATACGACGTACCTCGAAAGCGTCCGAGAAAAGTCCCCTTATGCCAAGTCGGCGTATTCCGATGATGACAGTACTACCGTGAACGAAACCCTCGTGCCAGTGACTGGTATCAGCGTCACGATGCATAATCAGAGCGCCTTCGACGACGAGGGTTGTATGTCAACGCCGCTTCTCGAGTTCGAGCACACGGCAGTGTTTAAAAGCTACCGCATGCTGTATGCCGAGATGCTCTTCGGATGGTCTCTTCCCTTCACTAGGTTAGAAATCCTCAAATTCGACTCTCTGCCAGAATACTTCACTCCTGGTCCCCCATCGCCACCATTCTCAAAACCCAATGCCGCGTCAATCCATTCCGTGGACCATGACATGCCTCCTTCACCAATACTCCTCGGCAAACAGGACACCCAGCAGCCCGTCTCTGACCGCGGCCTCTCCATCACGGCATACTGCCTCAAGCACGAGCATCGCCTCGAGCCGCTCACTTCCTCTTCAACCTCTACTCTTGGCGGCGCAGTCGGTCGCTGCGAGCGCTGCAAAATGACAAAGCGGCAGCTCAAATGCGTCATCTGCATCGAGCCCATTACCGGCGACTACGCTGCCTGTCTTTCCTGCGGCTGCGCATCACACCAGATCTGTCTCGACGCGTACCTCTCCTCATGGGACGACGACGAGGTAACAAAAGACGACATGACGTGCGCCGGGGGGTGCGGCTGCAACTGCACGCGCCGCGCCGGAATGGGCGTCGTGGAGAGCTGGGAGGTGATGATGGGTGCGTTGGAAAAGATGCGTAAGAAGGATGCGAAGCGGGCTAAGGGGCGGGAGGCGAAGGTGCCGCCGCGGCGACTGACGGAGGAGTGGGATGAGGGGAGCGATTGGGAGGGCGCGAGGGAGAGTAGGGCGGAGGTGCCGCCGGCGAAGACGCCGTTGAGGGGGACGATGGGTCAGGCGATGGGGCAGGCGCAGTTGAATTACTCGACGCTGAGTCGGAGGCTGGGCCAGGTGAGGGCGGGAGATGGGTGGATGGGGGTTGGAAGTGGGTTGAGGAAGAAGGGGAGTGTGAGTAGTACGGAGAGGGGTGCGTAAGGGTATGATATGGGTCGATGGCGTATGGATTGAATGCATGGATTGGAGTTGCGGTGGCTTGTGGGTAGCTGTATAGTACGATAATGCTTTATATAATGTAGGATGCCGTGATCTTCGGATTCTTAGGCTTGAAATAAATATTCTCACAACTCGTTATTTATTTTATAACAATGAATTATTAAATCTACAGAAACAAAGAAATATTCTTATAGCCAACGCATATGTTGTACAGTTATATTCCTCTGACCATACAAAGAACCATTGGGTACTTCAAAGCTATAGGCATAACGAGTCTATTAATGAGGGCATCGCTCCTTTTATTTCTCAAAACTATGACCATCTATCGCTCCTTCCATATGGTTGAAGGGACCAAAATATCGACCTAAAATAGACTAGACCCCAAAATTAACTTAGCGAGAAACACTAAGATTAGTTCTCGACCCCACAACCACAAATTCGGGATTTCTTTTCTCGACCACCCAAATCCAATGATACTCATAATTTCAAATATGCCTCCTCAGCTCAACAATCAGCTCTCGTAGCTCAGTTGGTAGAGCGCGGCACTAGTAATGCCGAGGTCTACGGTTCAACTCCGTACGGGAGCATGTCTTTGGCCGGGTGGTGTAGTTGGTTATCACGTTTCGTTAACATTTCTAATGTACCGAAAAGGTCCTGGGATCGAACCCCAGCCTGGTCAATTCTTTTGCTGTTCTCGACGTTAGACGCGGTGTTGACAACACGTGTTGTCTTTTGTTGATGATATTTTGGTGATTTTTTTGATGTTAGGGTTCAGTGTGTGGTGGGGGCGGGCGGGGGGAAGTGATTCGCCGGCCGTGGTGGTTGGTGGCTGATCGTTGGTAGTGCTTGAATCACCAAGGATTTGTGATTGTTTGGTGCAGTATCGCGCATACAGCTGTGTTCCCCGCAATCGGCGGGCGGATGACCCGAGACATATATTAAGTTACGGTTTCCCTGGACAAACGTGGAGGATGTTTTTTGAGCGTATGGTATCTCTACCTACTCCCGAAGAAACCTACTATTGCTATACTCCCTGAAACGACTCCTAGAAACCATGTCCTTCAACGCCTCCTCTATCGTCGCCAGCACAAAGCTGATCGCCCTCCTCGAGAAACTCCACGCCCTGTCCTCAGCACAGGAGAACTCTTACTCACAATCCTTCTTCTACCTCACCCGTCTAGGGCGCTACCTCCTCTTTGGCGAAAGCTGGTCCGCCGGCGCCGACGACCACATGCGCGATAAGTTCGTTGCCCTCGAGCCTGACAAGTGCCAGTTCGTGTACCTGCTCGCGCGGAGCATGGGCGCGCTTAATATCGTCGAGGCAGGGACGAGCTTCGGGGTGTCGTCGATGTATCTGGCGCTGGCGGTGGGGCAGAATGTCGCGCAGGCGAAGGCGTGTGGAGGGGTTGCGACGACGGGGAAGGTGATTGCGACGGAGAAGGAGGCGACGAAGGCGGCGAGGGCGAGGGAGTATTGGAAGGAAGCTGGGGAGGAGGTAGAGCCGTGGATTGAGCTCCGTGAGGGTGATTTACTTGAGACTTTGAAGATTGAGGAGGGTATGCCGGAGAAGATTGATTTGTTGTTGCTTGATAGTAGGCTACCGCTTCGCTCAACCTCGCTCGACTGTTACGGTATTTTATCATATTACTGACACATGCAAATAGTATGGACGCCAATGGCCCTCCCAACCCTCAAAATTATTCAGCCACGACTGAGACGCGGAGCAGTTGTTATTGCGGATAACGTCGTCATGTCGAAGATTCTGTACAAGGAATTTCTCACATATGTTCGAAGTCCTGAGAATGGGTTCAAGACGATGACTGTGCCTTACAGTGGCGGCTTGGAAGTGTCTGTGTATTTGCCAGATGGCCAATCTGAGTAAATCGCAGAACTGGACAACTGTCAATGGCAATTTTTCTCCCCCAGCTAGCTAGAGCTATGTAGTCGCGGAACAAACAATCCTTCATCAACATTCACGTCGGACATTTTATTGTGGTCCTCTATTCTCAGCCTTGTGATCTACGCCGTTATGACTTCACAACCACACAGCCTTGCAGGCTTGGTATGAGCCTCAGGATAACACAACCACAATTGGAAGGTATTGTATTCAAGAGGGCGCTGTGTGTTTGTAAGCTGTTTCCGCAGCATAAATGAAGCCCAAGATCTCCCTATTCCCGTCAGTATCAATCAATATCCCCACCTACCCTACAATTTACAAGCATGTCTACACCATCTAAGGTCGCTGGCGGCTGTCTCTGCGGCGCCGTCAGATATGAAATCAGCTTCAAGCCCGACCACGACTTCAAAAGCAATGTAACCCCCCCCCTCCTACCACCCTACCTAGCACCCCATCTAACCCCCCCTCCCAGGCCTTCATCTGCCTCTGCACCCAATGCCGCAAGCAATCCGGCGCCCTCGCCATGCACTTCTTCAACGTAACCCTCCCCTCCTTCACCTGGACCTCGCCCACCCCCTCCGCGCGCACAGACTATGAGATCATCCCCGGCAACCACCGGCACTTCTGCCGCACCTGCGGGTCCTTCATCGCGTGGCAGGGTGATAACAATCGCACGCCTGAAGGGGAGGCGCAGCTTGAGGTCTGTGCTGGGACGTTGGATGAGGAGTTCTTGGTTGGGAGGAAGGATGGGGATGGGGAGGTGGTGGAGGGGACGGGGTTTGGGGAGGTGTTATGTCATCCGGAGGGGAATATTGGGTGGGCGCAGAATGATGTTGGGAAGGTGACGGCGGGGTTGTGTGGGACGAGGTTTAAGTATGGGACTGATGCTGGGGTTAAGTGTTAGTGTTAAGTTGAGGAGTTGGGGATGGTATTGGGGAGGCATCTGGGACGGCAGATTTATGCGTAGTGAAGGCTGAAATATGAAACTTTGTTGAAGCTTTTTGATGTTGTTTGATCTATGACCTGTGGGAGCAAAAAAGTACCCCGCCTTTGGCTCTTTATCGTCGATGTCGCACGGACCTAATCAACCCCGCGGTCAGCCTTGCCTTGCCTAGTCGTTCAAAAATCGCCAACCAAGAGTTGGTGATTTATTTCTAAATTTCGCCCAGCGGATAGCATCTGGCAATTGGGTTCAAAATTCTAAAGCCTGGTGTGCTTTCTAAGCAATGAAGTTACAACTTGTAGTCCCCCTGAAGCCTGGCGACAGCAAAAAGAAAGGCGACAAGGGCGTTGAAGAGCTCAACGGCCAGCTGTGGCATGTATCAGAGCCGCTCGATATCAAAGATGCTCGCAGCGTCAAGTTTCATTGCATTTCGTATGTATGGGGGCACGGCCGCGAGAGGCCAGGCAGCTTCTTTGATAACGAGATAAGTATTTCGGACAAGACTCGACCTGCCCTCAAAGCCGCTATTAGAGCTATTAAGGCATCGGGCTTCGAGGCATATGGCCCGATTGAAGAGGCGTTTTGGATTGATGCCCTATGTGTCCCGTACGCTGATGGCCCCGATAGATATGGAACGCTTGAAAGGTATGTTTCCCAAACCCTACTGTTATAAGATGTATTTACTGACCATCAGAAGTATGGGTCACATCTATAGCGCCGCGGAATCGGTTATAATTATCATCCAAGATCCCGCTTGGAAGATTATCCTAGAAGCATCCTCAGGAACCACCCCTGATGCTCTCTCATATGATGATATGCAAGCCCTCGAGGGAGACAAATGGATCACCAGCGTCTGGACGTACCAAGAGCTTGTCAATGCCCGTAGCATCCATTTTGCGCCAATACACCCCGAAGGCTATGACTCCATCGTAAAAGGCGACAGGTTCTTCAACTGCACAGGGTTTTCTCTAGACCAGTGGAAAAAGCGTAACGACAAGACAACCAGCGAATCACTTATTGAGTTTCCAACCCTCAACACGTTTGAGGATACTTTGGCGGATTTGGCAACCTCCGGGTACCTTGGCCGCTCAGTGTTCCAGGTTCTAGCAAATATGGCTTGCCGCACATATGACCCGTTTTTTCCGGCAAATAGATTGCTGGCCTCTCTTGGAGCTTTAACTCAAGAAGTGTCTTGGGGACCTCCAACTATGTCGTTGTCTGATCTATCCGAGAAAGTCATGGCCACTTGTGAGGCCGACAATGATTACTCGTTTATATACACAACCGACGAAAGGGACGAGACTCCCGGCTTGCAATGGCGACCTGACCCGAAGCAAGTCCAAACCGATCTGTCGAAACCAGTGCACCTAATTCCACTTCTAAGTTGGAGCAGCTGGGGAGAACCATTTGGCACGACTCAGACCGGGCACAAGGACGATGCAGGATTCTGGCTTGATAATATGATTCGACTGCAGCCATCGGAAGCTACAGGCGAAGAAGTTAAGCTGTTGCTAGAGAACTGGCTGTACCGACCAAAGGACCTGACTCAACCCGGGGCGGCTAGCAAGGGATTCTTCAAGCACACTGAGAGTGAGAAGCTCGATTTTGGCGAAGCAATGTTAAAGGCTTTGAAGCAGATGCGATTTAGTGGTACTCAACCACCCGTGATCTGCGAGGACGGCTTATTCTTTCCTTTAAAACCTCTGGGTGAGTGCCAGGACGTAGAATTATATGCTGCATCAAGCATCAGATGGTTATTTGGCTCTCCTGGCTTAGTGAGGTGGAAAGAGGGAGACAAGACGAAATATTCGACGGGTGTCTTTACAGGGGCCGTGAGGCATGATCAAGCCAAGGCGATATTGATAGTATGAACTGAGTAGCGACGTATAGAGAAGCATACCCTGCCAATATTTTGCTCTAATAGCTGGCCTAGTATTAAGCTATCGTGTTGGGGGGTATTGCGCACTAAGTTCGGTGCGGCCCGTGGACAGCACCTGCCGTGGGGTGGATGACATCACACTGTTGAAACCCCTAATATTGCAATCGGGCATTACATTTCACTTCGGTGTTGTGAATACGTTTGTGATACCCTTTAAAGCGACCTCATACGATCCGTGGCTCTGCAAATAGAAACCAGATGTGGCCTACGCGGTAGCATGGACCCCGCGGATCACCAATACTTAAGTGGCCCGCACGTATTTTTTGCCAGCTTCCAAGGAGAACTACCACTATTTATGGGTACAAAGTCTAGTTGCAGAGCCAAATGGCCGCCATCTTATCATGAATATTGAAGTATTACCAGTCATTTCATTGTTATTCCTATCTAGTTGTACGTTGCAGCAGTGCCTTGATTTGACATATCGAATGTTGACGTCATGATTATATTTTGATAACTCCGATGATCAGTGCAAAGATGACCTACTTCACCTGCAAACTTCCAAACATACTTCATTCAATGATATTTCATTAGCCTCCAATAAATTCCAATTCGAATGTGAATAAACCGTGTCGGTAAGGAAAACAGCAAGACCCAGCGAAGATGTCAGCACACGGAGGCAGCGGCGGCCAATTTGAGCCTGTCAAAGAAAAGCAGGCCCAACCTCTCCCTGGGTTAGTATATCTAAAATATTTCTGGTAAAATTAACGGAAAGTGAGGCTGACAGAAGAATTCAGATCAGAGAAAGCTATGAAACCGACAAGCGAATCGACTGCTCTCGAGGGCAGCGAGGGCTTCGTCGAATATGTTG